GGGCAGGCCTGAGGCCGGGGCCCCGGGAGGTGCTCCGCCGCCTCTCGGGACTCCGGGACCCCGGCCGACACTGGAAGCCCTGGCAGGCCAGCGAGCGTCCGGGAGAGGGGTGAAGTGGGAGGGAGGGCCCGGGGAGGAAGCGACACCCTGGCATGAGGGCACCTGGGGCTACCCGAGGGCGGAGACTTGAGGGTGTCTGGTTGCTTCTTGTTTCGGGAAGTTTCCGACCACCGAGGATAGTCGGGTGCCGGTTCAAACTTTTAGCATTGGGGAGGGGGGCAGTGCTGTCCTGCCCGTGAGTTCCGCTGGCTTCGGTGCCTTTCCAGGGGGCTGCTGCTGCTTTGGGAAGTTAGAGATCTCCCTCTTTCGGTCAGTTTCTTCTTGACATTTAAATCCTCTCGAGAAGGAAGTCTTATTTTTATGCCTGATGTACCTTGCTTAACACTTTGTCAACCACTTAGATGTCGAATAGCAGTGCCCAGTAAGTACATAAAGTGAACTCATTTACTTTATTAATGTTCCTCACCGAGGCATTCCCTTCGTATCAGGTGGTAACCTTGGACAGTTCCCTCACAGACTCCTCTATTTATAAAGACGACTGGGGGGCGGGGTTGAGGAGGTGTGGGTGAGTGTTGCGACACTTTTCCTGTCTGCCTTTGCTTTGCATACTGCGGTTTACGAGTGCACTTGGCTGGCTCTTTGCTCGAACACCTGAGCAGTGACCTTTGTACTCTCACCTGAATGCGTGAGCCTTTTGGAACACTGGCTGTAAATGATCCTCTGGCTTTTTGAGCCAGTTAAGGATTTTCGCCTTCAGGCTGAGTGCCTTGGCATTGTTTCTGAGGAACTTTTCTTTGGCAGTCAAAATGCCCTTCTTGTTTTTGCTTCCAAGACAGCTAGTACACCTAGATAAATACATGGTGATTGAAGGAGACTAATTATCGAAGGAACCACGTGTTGTTTTTCAAAAATTCATGACACGGTTGGAGTATATGAGATTTGTTTGGCAGCTCGTGTCCTAGCATTAAGTAGCCAGCACCGTTTAAAAGTTTTTGTTGTATGTACCTCTCAATTCCATGATTGTTTTTAAAAAATCCTAATTATAGTCATGCTCTCTACTCGAGATTTTGCAGTCCACCTGTCTCAAAGGAATAACATTGAATTTACCAAACAAAATTGACTTTATTTCAGGAGTGTGTCCAAATATACATGGAGGGAAGGGTTGAAAAAACGGATGAGACCACAAATTCTGTTAATTTCTTGCTACTATTTATAAAACAGATCAAGGCCTTTGAAGTGGCTTGCCACTTGGTGTGGATACAGGCCTTTGCCTTTGTGTGGATGCAATTGGAAGAGAATGGGGCCACATAACGAAGAGGTCAGGAGCAGGCCCAGTGTGACCTATCACCTCTGGTAAAGCAGAATGCTCCCACCAGCCTTAAACTCTTGTCAATCCATGTAAACAGGGATGAAATGTCAGGGTCACACATTCCAAGAAAACCATCTGCCACAGGTTGCAGAATCAGAAAAGTACTAGGCTCTGTTTTGTATTTATTTCTTAAGTAAATGACCTTAAAAATAGGCTGCTCATTAGTTACATCTTTAAATCCCCATAATGAAACCTTTGGATAGACTCCTGACCTGAGAATTGAGAACACTGATGAACTTCTAGATGAACCACTTCCCAAACTACAAACATAAAACTACATCAGCAGCAGCACTCATGTAAGATGATAAGCTGTTTTGCCTACACCTAGAAGTTCACTCTTCCAGGCCAGAGTACAGAGTGGATTCAGTTTAATTCTCTCCCTGAATGCTCAGTGCCTTTAACCTAGAGATTAAGAGCATGCTCTTATAGCAGAAGTGCTCCACGGAGGGTATTTATAGCCAAAGTAATTTGAAAGCATGGTAATTGTGCATCTCTAGAGTGTAAAGTAAATTCTGGGCACCGTTGTGGAAATTTAGGGAGGTATGGAAATGATGAGGATGTTAAGGAGTCTGTGAGGTGCTGTAATGTCTTGCTTGCAGAAATTGCCAGGAAGGAGGCAGAAATGTAATCTCTATTATAATGGTTGTACTTAATTTGAATATGCTCCACTTTTCTTGCTTTTATTTGTGTGTGTGTGTGTGTGTGTGTGTGTGTGTGTGTGTGTGTGTGTGTGGTTCGTTTGTTGTTTTAGTGACTCCCTTTAGAACTGTCTTAGGAACTGGAATATAGCTCAGTGGTAAAGTATCTATCTGCCTGTTCGACCTGGGTTCAGTCTCCAGTACTGCAGCAAGTTACCACCAGCACCAAATTACAGCAAACAAAATGCATAAAGGCAGAGTTGAGATCCTAAGTTTTGGGCCAGTTTCAAATGCTAATAAATCCTTTCACCTGCCACTTTTCCCTTTGGGTTCCCTGTCACACAGCTGTCCTTGAACCCTGGCCCAGCAGATGCTTTTGCTCTTATAGTTCCCTTGCCATACAATGTCTTCCCTCAGAGCTTGATCTGGCCAGCTCCTCCCCCTCTTTCCTTTCCTCCTTTCCTTCCCTGTTCTCTTCCTTTTGTCCTGACCTGTGCTTTCTTTCTATATAAACTTTCTCTGTTTATGTACCCACATTAGCCTTGAACTTGAAATCCTCTTGCATCAGCCTTCCAAGTCTTGAAATAGGCTTGTACTGCCATTCCTAGCTAGTTTCAACTATATGCTCAGTTTAAATTTCACTTTTTCACAAGACTTTGTCTGTTATGTACTGAAATACTGTGTAATCCTTGTGAGTCCATTTATTTATGGTCCCCCCCCCTTTTTTTTTTTTTTTAAAGATTGATGTATTTCCAAGGCTGGTCTAGAACTTACTGACCTCAGATTCCTGAAAACAATTATGTCTTAGCTTTCTGGGTGCTGGGATTGTAGATATGCTACCATGACTGTCTCATCTCTAAAATTTACTTACTTCATTTATTTACTTGAGCATGCTTGAGGATGGGTGGATGTTTGCCAAGGCTCATGTGCAGAGGTGGGAGAACTTAAAGAGGTCAGTTCTTTCATTCTACCTTATTGGTCTTGGGGAATGTGGTACAGACCTGCTTGTTATGTGGGTGCTGAGATTTGAACTTGGCTCCTCATGATTGTGCAGCAAGCACTTTTAACTGCTGAGTCATCTTTATAAAAAAATTTTCCTTGTGTGGTGGAGAAGGTACGTGTGCCACAGAGCTCAAGTGGAGTTCAAAAGGATAGCTTTTGGGACTTGGCTCTACCCAGTGGGTTCTGAGGGTTCTGGGGATCAAACTAGGGTCATTAGGCTTGATAGCAAGCTTATTTTGTTTGTTTTTTTTTTTTTTTTGTTTTTTAGAGACAGGGTTTTTCTGTGTAATAGTCCTGACTCTCTTGGAACTCGCTTTGTATACCAAGCTGGCCTTGAACTCACAAGATCCACCTGACTGTACTTGGGATTAAAGGTGTGTGTCACCACCGCCCTATGCAGCAAGCATTTTTTACCCATTTCACTGGCCTTCTTTTTTAGGATCTTATATATCCCAGACCATTTGTAGGGGAGTTTTTTGTCAGGACCTTTGGTCAGCTCTGTCCCTCCAGCCCACTCCCAAATAATCACTCAGAGACTTATTATTAATTATAAATGCTTGGTCAATAGTTCAGGTGTATTACTAACTAGAGCTTACAACTTAAATTAACCCATTTATATTCATCTACATTTTGCCACATGGCGTTACCTCTCTTTCATCTTGCACTTCCTGTTTCCTCTCTCTGTCTGTCTGGCGGCTCCTCTGACTGTATCCTCCTTTCCAGCATTCTCTCTGCTCCAGAAATCCTGCCTAGTCAGCTTTTTATTAACAGTGAGAGCCATACATATTTACAGTGTACAAGATTGTTTCAAGTATTTTCCTTTTTTTTTTTTTGTCAAATTAAAGGGAAGGTTTTAACTTGAACATAGTAAAATTATATACAACAAAAACAGTTAAGTAAGAATTATAGTTTTAATATCCAGTCCATTTATATTTGGCAACATTAGAAAATATTATTTATCATATCTTTGTGAGTCTAAAGTTTTATATCTAATTTACCTTTTTTTTTTTGTTTTGTTTTTTCGAGACAGGGTTTCTCCGTGTAGCTTTGCGCCTTTCCTGGAACTCACTTGGTAGCCCAGGCTGGCCTCCAACTCACAAAGATCCGCCTGCCTCTGCCTCCCGAGTGCTGGGATTAAAGGCGTGCGCCACCACCGCCCGGCCTAATTTACCTTTTATCATA